TGAAATAAATAATTTAATATATGTAATAAACTGCTTATGATTTATGATGTGTTATTGAAAATAATAAGACCATACCAAATTTAATAAAAAAATGTTTAACTGCTATCACACAAACCTGAAATTAATTCCTATATTCTAGATCAATGATTTGTTATGGAAGGTCATTTTAAGGTACGTCCTTGTATGGTATTTTGTATTATGTGTTTGAATTATAAACTTTCTTGTGATTTCGTCAACATCGATCTATTAACAACAAATAGTGTACTTAGTAATAGTGTACTGTAGTACTTTAACCAAACAGTTAAGCACCCATTAACCCTAAAATAAGTAACAAAATATCGACTGATATCAGTGCACTCAACTGTAACCGATTATGAAACATAAATCAACAAATTTGTATACTATATAAAAAGGCGAAAAATCTGCTTTTAGTATTTAATGTCAACCCTTAAGTATATTTAAATAAAATTCAATCTAAAAAAAAAACTAACTTTATTTTTTAACTTAGAATACAATCATACTAAGTAAGCACAAAAATAATGCTATAGCACAGGAAATAACAGACCACCAAGACCTTTTATGAAAACTGTATAGTTTATAGAGTCGTTTTAAAGACTCTACAGTATTTTAAATTTTATGTAAACAGTTTTTGAAACCAAACGAAATCATTCACTTTTTCCATCAAGTTTATAGCTCAAAATTAGTAGTTCTATTATGGGTTACACTGTACAAAGTTATTTTTAAAAAATTTTTTATATATTCCTTATATTTTCTTCTAGTAAAACACACTGAAACTACTAAGTTAAATTTCCGAATCACTTAGGACACTTATCACTTGCTGAATGTAAATTAGTGATTAGTGGTATTTGGATAGTACTGTTCAAGACGAAATGTCTATTATTATCTATATTTACTATTTTAACTTTCATTAGTTTGTACTTTACTGAGCTGGAAACGTCCATTGGAGGAAGTATGGGTGAATTTAGAAGTACAATACAACTGTTATCATAGAGTAGATTGTATGTAGAGACGACTCAGCGTACAACAGGCAAGAGTACATAGTTAAACATACAGGTATGCTTTTAGAGCTGCCTTTATGAACTCAGAGAGGCTGACTTCATTAATATTGATCTCTTTACTTACATGGAGCTCGCCAGTTCTATCTCTCTTAAATCACTGTGAAGAAAATGCTTATTACAAGCTAACTGCATGCTCGTTAAAAACTCCTCAGCTACCGTCCGCATAATATACTTCTCTCTAAGGATATCCGTCAAACGTAAAGTATTATTTTAGAACCAACTGTTATTAGCTATTCTATGTTTGGTTATTGAACTAAATTTATTTTTTAACTAAAACTAATTATAGTGTTGTTTATGTTTTATTTTCTTGTATACAGACACAAACACTTAATTTAAACTATACATGGTAAGTCTTTTATTAAGCATGCTTTGGCAAGGGAAAACGTTCTGACTCAAGTAAACAAGGATTATCTTCACTAAACTATAACTTTATTTAATCATAAATAAATAAGTTTAATTTATAAATCCTGTTTGGCTTACTATCTATATTCTACTGAGCACGTAGTTATTTATTTTTTTGTCCTAGGAATTGTTTTTCACATTACTTCAGGCTAGACCTAGGGGTTACGGCATTATCACTTGGATAAAATCCATTGGTGATTTGGTGGGATTTGAACCCGGGACCCCAGGAACCGGAGTCCCGCGCTCTGACCACTAGACCAACTCGCTCGCCAAGCACGTAGGTATTGCTCAGAAATGATTAAACCTAATTTGATTCTAGAAAATTTGAATATGCAGGACTTTTAAACCTATATAATATTACTACTTCTAAAATGTAGAAAAGCGATATCAAACCAATATTAAAAACCCTTCCTAAGTATGTTGTTCGGTAATAAAATAGTGTAAAATCTGTTTGGGACCTGAGATATTAACCGTGATCATAAATTAAATTTAGCAAGATAAAGCCCCCATCCTGGTTTGAAATGGTCTTAAATTGTAGATTGGCAAAGATTGTGCCAGACTTAGATCTAACAATATATTTCCACACAGAATTTATTGATTCTCTATTCTGTTAGTTACAGTTTCCTCACGTTGTAGACAGTTTGTGACGTTTGCCCGAGGGTGGAGAGTGTGAGAACATGCATAATCAATTACGTTCCCTCCCTTGTCAGTTTGACACTCGTCAGACGACGCGCCTCCGGCCATCCCTCCCGCCAAAACTCATGCATGCAGACGCGCGCAATCACAGAAACAAAATCATAAAAGCACACGTTCACAGTCACTGCAGAAAGCCCAAAACAACCTCGCACGTTCACAAGCGCAAATGCAATACACAATGAGGATATGTTATTTTGAATGATATGATAACTAATGAAAATTAAGATCAAACGTTTAGGACGGTAAAACTATTTTTCACAAAGATGTTACTTATGTAATTATTATTTCGTTCTTATGTTACTCTGGCTATTATTTCGTTCTTAATTCATTAAAATGCTCTTCAATTGATGTTCTCTGTTTTTATACATATAAGAGTGGTGTATAATAAAAGTCAAGGATTGGAGAAAATGTAACATTTGAATTGTGTTTATAAGGATTTTTTGATAATCCCTGTGGAGCGATCCAAACCTCATCGCCTGAGATAGGCGTATGCTAAGGATCAAACCTAGCAAAAACTTCACAAATCCTGAGACTGTCCAAGAAACTAACCAATATACTGATAACTGAGCCAAAAACGTGTTATTAAACTTATTGTTACTCTAAGCCCGGTATCAAATGCATGATGATGCACTGACCTATAATGGACCTATGTTTCTGGACAAGTACCTACAGTATTGATCTTGTATCGTTCAACCAAAACTAGTAGAGATTGGGGTTTAACTTGCTTCAAGATTGTTTGGCTTATTGAGCTTAAACTCTGTTCAACGATAATCCAAGTTGATTTGTCTCTGCTCTACTTTCAGGAGTCCCGTTGCTGGAGCATTTTACGGAGTAAAATAATACATTTATTTGAAAGTAAGCTAAAATTTATTTTGTCAAACGTATATTTGAATAACTGAATGAAAAACATTCCCTATCCTAGCCACTACACCACTCAGCACTACTGTACTTTGTTGGTTATTTTTTTCTAACTGAAACATGGCAGTTTTGAATAATTGATTTGCTGTTTTGCTTTCTAGCGTGCTGTTTTCAAAAAAGCGATAACATTCAGTGTATTTGCCTTAGCAATTTCAACAATCGGTTCATTATAATTCTCGTTAGTTGCCCACTTGTAGATCGATACGCCTCAATTTCATTCATTAGGGCAATAAAGCAGCAAGGGAACGACCCAATGCGACATTGCCTCTGCAGTCACGCCACCTGACGATTGACATCCACTGATGGTAATTGTGGTAGTGTGGTCCCGGCATGGCAATAGAATCTCGAAACACTTTAACATTCCTTTTGCGTCTGTTTCGGCGATTTCCAAAACAAATTGACTTGTTTTTATAGAGTTTGTAAGTTTATGTTACGTTAAAATAATATGTTTCATAACGATTAGCCTAGTTAAAATTCCGACGTATTATGATCTGGAATTGAAACTCGTGACCGAGGACTTTTTTCAAAGATTTTGAACCATAATTTGTTAAATAATCACTCAATAAACAAAATAGATTTTCTCAACCTAGTTTATGTGTGCAACCTTCACCTGATCAAAGAATTGATTCCTCTACCTCGTACCTACATTTTTACTATTTTCACCAATTTTCTGCTGTTTTAGATATAACAATTTACTGTTGGGTAAACTTATTTATTTGACTTTAATTTTATTTACATAACTACATAATGTAGTTATGCGTGTATGTATGCAGTTATGTATTGTATATTTTACATAACTAAAAATTATAAAAAATCCTTGAAAATTCAAAAATACCAGTTATACTGTCAAGTGTAAAATCGTTGAATACGGTGGTCCCAAATAATTATTCACTTAATATTTTTGTTATACACGCTATTGGTATATATATATATATATATATATAACTAGATCACTTAACAGTATTAGCATTTTATTAAACCTTTTATTTGAATAACATTTTATTCAGACGCTAAAACTATTTGACAAGAAACAATAGATTGAACTGAATGAACATATAACTAGCCATTTAATTCATGGACCTAATTTGAAGTCTAGTTGTAGACATTTTAATTCATGCAAAATTTATGCCTACAGCAACAGTTCAAATCTATTCTATAGGTTAAGTAAAATATATATTAATTTTAGTTCAGCTAAAAATAAAGGCTAATTAACTTGCTCAGAGCTAACTTGATGTGTTAATAGTATAAAACAAATATAAATTAGTTTGATATAAAATTTCAATGTTACAGCTTGCATTAAAAGCCATACAACTTTCAAATTCTGGAATATTAACTTATGTCTCGTACAACAATTACCCCAGAGAGTTCACTAATAGGATTAAAAACCAACAACTTTACCTTGGAAACGTTCGAATAGAACGACATTTACTTTACATACACTGTGGTTTCAAAGGCATGAACTTTAACCGTAAGACTTTTATCGTTAACATTCTGAACATTTTCTCAGAAAACAACCATGATTATCCTTATGTTAGTATTCATTCTGAGGGTAACTTTGTAAAACCCGTCGTAGTAACGAAGGATTTTACTAGTTGTGAGGAGAAATTTCATGAGTTAAGAGAACTTTTCTCCCCTGAATAATTATTTATTGTCTTATATTTTCTAGATAGGGAAGCAAGTGGACTCCGACCCCCGCGGCACATACCTATATGGATAAAAAAACCGCCAATGTTAGGTGGGGTCGGTCTCTAGCATTCAGTATAGGTCTTAGTCTGTAACCAGTTGACCAGCCACGCATATATCAAATATTCTTGTGCACTTAACTGTACAGGGTACAATAGTTTTCGAAAATGTCATGTACAAATAAATAAATAGTATTACATTGTGTATAGCACGTTAACTTACCATTATATCTGGCGGCCAAAGAGGGTGAAAGTAGATATAGAAGGGAGAGCCACAGCACTACGACGTAGGTCCATGTTGTAGCCGCCATCTTGGAACACTCTCGCGTACTCAAATCATCCTGAAATCAAAATACAAAATGGTAGAAAAATGATTGAACAGATTAACAGAGAGTAACTTATGGAAAAGGATTTTGTATAATGCCATTAGACGGGTAAATAGTCATTGAGTTAGAGGATTATAATAGAACTACACATTTTATACAACGCTATTAACGCTAATCAGGTATTCAGACGATTTTAAAACATGTTTTAGCAGTTTATACAGTCCATTTAAAGATAATGCTCAATCAGTAAAGCTATATTTTTCTAAGTTCATTAAACCAAAGATTGACCGGATGAATGGTTAGTCTCAGTAATTTTGAAAACAAAGGAAACATCATTGACTGACATTGTTACTTCTAAAGGAGGAACAAAATCTGGTTTTGTAAGTAAGTGCGGAATGGATACGGAATCCAACATAACATTACATAACAAAATATTACATAAGCAACACAAGTGACTACATTATCATATTTGTACTGCCCCATTATGAGCCTTTCCCCTCAAATATTACACGTACTTTTCTAGATTTACAAACTTGAAAAGTGTCAAATGTTCTTACATGTTGCCTCTTTATGTTCTTTGTTATTGTTTTTCATTATCAACCGTTTATTATTAAAAGGTTAGTCTTGTTATTTATTTATATTCACGTTTTTATCATTCTTCTCATAATATTACAGCATTGAAGCATTTTTTAAAGCAATTTCTCTTTGACTAGACATTAGTGAATAGAAAGAGTATAGGGTTAAGAGTCACTAAATGACACGACCAGAGTAATTATTTTTATGGTGAAGTAGTATGTATTTAGTCCTTGTTCTTAACTTACAGTATTTTATTTTTATACGTATATTTCAATGTTATTAGATAAACAAATATTCTCATATTTTCTTCCAGTACTTGTTATCTTTTGCCTTATTTTAATGAGTCTCCATCCTCTGTGTGATTAAAATAATATTAACTGTAAAAACTCTCCATGTAATTATACAATACAATACTCAATAGCAACAACACTATTATGAATGTTTTACGAATAATCTATAAATTTTACCCTTCATAAGAGTATTAAAAGCAAGCGTGGATTTTACATAAGAAACTGAAGTACAACACAACGCATAACCGTTGTACAGCATTGCTAGTCTGTTATTGTACCTCGTCCTACAGTCAGAGGAAAACAGAACGTAAAGGGGCTCTATTCCCACCTGCAGCGGTGCTTGTGTTTTATTACTTCGTCTTCATAATGCAATATTCAAACTCCCCTCTAACCCTTCTCGAATATCTACTCGCAGTATACCGTACATTACACGGGCGTAGGTAATAACATGTTTATAAAGGTTATGATTAGCGTTTAGTTTAGTATGGTTGTGAGAAAAATACATGATACGAGTAAGGGAAGAACCAAGGTTGATAGTGTTTCATGATAGTAATAATGTAAGGGCCACAAAAATTATATAAACTTCGTTCACAAAATTTAGATGGTTCTAGGGGAAGAAATCTTTCCCCGTTACTTTACCCCACCCTAAACCAACAGCTTATATAAAAATATAACTCCGCCGCAGCAAACCTGCAGACCAAGCGAATTTCCATTTGCCTGATTTGATTTTCACTAATCAATAAAAAAAAAAAAAACATTAGGTTTAACGAGTACATAGGTTTGCTGCTAAAGGGAGGGCAATGAAGTGTGTTTTGGTAAAATAATAATAGCTTAGTACAAAACTAATAAACTTGCCAAATTTTATAAAAAATAAATCCATAGAAAAGCAAACTATAATGGTTTACAAAACTTTCCCTGGAAATAACATAACCATTTTTAATTGACGATTTTTTTAATTTTTTCAGTGAAAAATAACCGTACTATAATGGTTTAGTATGATAGTTTCACTATACTTATATAATTGTTTCTTGGAGCTCTACCAAATATTTTTAAGAAACACTGTGAAATTCTATATTTTGATGGTCAAAAATGTTTTGGGGGAATTTACCCTTAAACAACCTAAAACCGGTGGATAAAATTAATAACAGAGTATAACTAAGTTTTTCTTCATAATTTATGATTAGGGAAATGTATAAACTAGTTTAAGTTTTATACAATAATTCATGTTTCGGATGAATTATGAAAATAAACTTCATTGCATGTCATGGTAAAACCCTGGAAAATACCAGTAATATTTAAATTATTTTTTCCTCGGCTAAACAAGCAAAGAACTATGCACCAGTGAAATTGTATAACGATAAAAGAGAGAGACATTTTATGGTTTATCAAAACATCAAACAAATCATCATAAATATCTGATAGAATTCTCAATTTTAGACTAGCACACCTTTATTTACCTATTTGATATCCAGGGCAGGAATAAAGTTCATGAATATATTTTCGAACAGCTCACTTTATGGCTCCCGGTGCGAAACCGAGACAACAACCAGTACCTTTATAAACACGATTAACACCCGCCCCAGTTAGTGCTTGCAAACCTGGCGAACTTTATTTTATGAGACTGGCTTTTTATAGTTTAAAATCCAAGCCGTAGCTAATATATTTTTTATTTATCCAAAGTAAGGAAAAATAGCCTACTATTTAAAAATACTTTTAACTGCTAAACATAATCATAAAAAAGCTATTTCTGTGGGTCTTCTAATCCGGGAAGCGTAAAATGTATTTCTATCAGTATTTAAAAAAATGAAACCTCGATTGTTCGTGTTGAGTTTTGACAGAATTTATATTGACAAGATAGCTAGGTTTCAAACGGACTGATAACATGCATACGTCGAATTGACAGATAGGATTTTTAATAAAGACTAGAAGCTTTACGCGTGTCCTGGGACGGAATATGGGATTTAAACGATTTATTTTATTTGAACTGCTGTTGGACGGCAGAATCATGACGTCAACATTCATTGTAGACTATGACTTGATTCGTGCAACTAATAGAAAACAAAAATAATAAAACAAATGTCTACATTTGAATAAACTGTAAGGTAAAGTTTAAAATTGTTAACATTAAATAAAATCTAAATAAAAGTGACAAAACACAAAATTTAGCATTTTATTTAAGAAAGATTGTGTAAATATTGACACCATTGATTTTTAAAGCATTTTGTTTTTGACGTGTTTTTTTCTTGGTTTTGCCTAGCTAACCACATGTTTAGCAATGTGACATTGTAATCACATGAAACTTCCAAACCATTCGAAGCTATACGAGAATATTGTAGTGATCGGGTTGTTACTTGGAAGCTGATTTTTAGCAACTTTGAAAGTCCTGGGGCAGATACTTGAGGAATGTTATGATAGGAAATACGCCAAAAGAATTCTTAGAAATAACAAAAATGAAACAATTCCTTCAAAGATGTATGTTGGTCAGATACCCTAGATAGCACATAATGGGAAAATACATTTCCAATTATTTTATGTTCTACCAAATATCGTAATGGCAAATCTGCGACAATGTTCAAACTATATAACAAAAGGTTTCATTTTGAATTTCACTTTAGAAAGTGCAACATTAAAAACCACCATCGTAACACTCTTAAGGAATTTTTGTTTGCAGAAAGACCATTTTATTATTATTTATGGTCTAGCAATTTTTTTTCAAAACAGTAAATAAAATGTCCAGTTACTAGAACTTTTAAAAAAAATAATTAATTATCCTCTTCTACCAATGTTTAGTTAATTTATATAAATGATTAGATGAGTCAGTCTCCCATCTAGTCAGGTCCCAATCAGGACAGGTTGGAGGTAATGAGTAAAATCACCAAAGGAAGAACTAATTGGAACCTCCAATAAGGGACGATTGATAATTGCTTCATTCCGAGACCCTCTGATAAAGCCACCGATTGTGCTGTTTACGAATTACCCGTGCCAATTTTAAAATTAGTAACAAAACAAACTAGTTATTGTTTTAAAAAGCATCACGATAGTGCGTGTTTCAAAAGGTTACATTAGGTAAGTGTAGGAGATGCCGTTTACTCGTTAATTGTACAATAAGCTGTGTTTCGTTAGTGTTATGTATAAAGTAATTCCAATAAAGTTTAGATTTTTTCATCCAAGCGTATAAAGATGATAAACAAACGAACGTGACTTAAGATAACAGATGCAATTTTGTCGTGCTGTTAAATATTTTTATTCAAATCCGATACACTATTTATTACACAACAGTTCGTACACTTGGCAATATTATCTGGCCAGCAAGTATGGTTATTTACCTGTAATACAGTGTGTATATATATATGTATATATTACTTTGTAGATATTTTGTTTTCTGCCTGTTTCTCTGCAGATACCTCCTTGTATTTTTAGGAAAACCTTTTTAATAAATAAAAGGCTAATATATTTAAGTCATAGTTAGATTTGACTGAACATTTGTTATTATTTCGTAGATACAAAATTATTTGCTGTAAACACTTTTTACATCGGTATAATTCACTTAGAACACACAATATCTAAATTTTGTGACCCAAGTACATATTGACAGGCTGACACGTTTTATCTGTAAGAGTCTTGGGTTATCAATAATCTCTTTTCAACACTCAAAATATCACTAATGACCCATCTGTTACAAATCAAACACAGTTATCTTTAGTAGAATGCATTTACATAGCAGTTGTCCAAGGCTAAGATTGACATCTAAAATATTATTTTTAATGCTTGAGGGACGTAAACGGTCATTAAATGGTTAATTTAATCCCTGGAATTGTATAATATTTTGATATAAAATTTTTTTATTATTTTATGATTATTTTGTTTGGGACTTTTCTACAGATGCTTCTTTCGTTCTAAGTAAACGATACAACTATTAAAAGCTCGTTCGTATTTCGGGCACATCTTAATAAGATGCATCAATGTATATCAATTTCTGGCAATTCGGTTAAATTATTGAGCGGAGCGAGCGAAGCGAGCGAAGCTCTTATACGTCGACTCTTGTGCATTTCGTAATACGCAAACTCCTCCTAGACGGCTGAATCAATCGTTTTCAAATTTTGCCTGGTGATAAAGACCATATCGGTGAGTGCCAACATCTATATGGCG